CCAATGTTCAAAATCTAATCGCCAGTTGATAGCTTTACTTAAAATAAACAAAATGATGATGTTATTTTTTCAAAATGGTTTTTCTATTTTGCTGAATATCATTTCTTAGAAAGGCAATTTTTATTGGATGTGTACTTGTGACCGGCACTATAATATAAAAAAGTCCACCAAATCGTCCCACTATATACAGTAGGACAAAAATACTATAGAAATAGTCAAATAACTGATCTATAAACATAAATATATATATACATACATACATATTTATAAAAATGAACCAAATTCAGTCTAAGTATTTTAAACATAACTGACAACTTCTAGCTTCTTAATCTAATAGTTTTATTTTTTATTTTTAAATTAGAAGCAAATTATAAATGCAATCTGTGTCAACATTATGAAATTATATCTGGTTTTTGGAGCGTTACTATTACAAAAAATAGAAGAGGATGAAGAGGATGGATGAAATTTATTCTAGTTTATCATGAAGCTGTATTTGTTCAAATATTTAACAAGTGTTGATAGGTGATATATGTGTTTTTAAAGAAATAGCAAAGAAAATTTTAAATGAATGTTTGGGGTCAGAAGAATGAGCCATTAAATATTATTTATGAGAATAATAAAACTATTTTCTTACATATTGTATATGTACACGATCAGAAGGTAGAGGAGATGTAGAAGGAAATAAAAATTGTAGATGATAGAGGAAATGAGATATGCAATGCAATAAGTTGAACATTATGTTTAAATAGATTTAGGTAACAATAATAATTTATAATATTCTTCTAATAAAAATTTTACATAATTTTTCGTCAAATAGGATAAAATACATAATTTTTGCTGATTACAACTAGGGTCTTCCCTTATTATTATAATAACAAACTATGCTTCGCATCACAAACTATATGTCTTGTGTCACAATTTATGCTTTGAATCACGAATTATGCCCCGCGTCATGAATTATTGCTTCAGAAGACCCTCGGTTTCATATGATTATTATTTGGGCATTGGTTAAAAAATGCCAAGGTTTTCTTTATTTACCATACAACAAAAATTTATTAATTATAATTTGTTGTGCTAATTATAATAAAATCATGTTAAATTAAAAATAGCAAACATAGAGTATATTTTACATTTATTGTTCATTTTTCTTTTGTAGTTATCCTAGTGAGTTTAGCTATTGCAGAAGGAATGTTATTGCTAACCGTTTGGGTCATGTGATTTTATAGTGGCATTAAAAATAGTGGTCATTGAGATGATCAACGGGAAATTTTGTTAAAAAATAAATTAGCAGTCAGTAATGGTCTATTAATATTACAAATATTAAAAAAATAATGGTATATAATAGTAAAATAATAATAAAAAATGTTATATTTAATAAAAATTATATATTTAAAACAAGTGTTAATATTAATGCTAATAAAGTTATTTTTCGATAATTTGCAGATTAGGATTTATATGTCCATTAAGTTGCAAAAATGTAGGAATACCATCCTTGTCACTTCTTAGGGTTCTATAATCATATTCATTTAGACTGTAAAACTTGATGAACGAATGTCCTTTACCATTGTTCTTTGTATAATTGACAAAAACCTCGCCGTTATAACGTGGGTTATTGATTTCACTAAGAACACCTAACATTGCAATAGGATCTTGGTCATTTGCATAGTGTTCGATGCGTTTAATCAAGTTTCCTGGGTTTGTGAATTCTCTAGATGCACTTCCAAATGTGTAAACCTCTAGTTTATTGAGAAAATTCTGTTCACCCGTGTAGCTTAATTCCAGATATAGTCTTCTCAAAACCAAATTTGCTATAACACAGCCTTGTGAATGCACTACTAACCGAACGGTGTTAACTTGTTTGTTTCTGAGCGCTGGGATAATCTCTTCAACAGAAACACGTACTGAAATTGGATCCACTTCAAAACTTTGTTGAAGGGTGGGCTTTATTATATCATTGATCACACCATAACTTTTATTTAAAATTCCTGTAACCCCCCTATCGAAACGTTCCTCCAAATGATTACAATTTTGACCTAAAAAGTATTTTGTAACGCAAATTCCATTAATAAAAAACCATCTTTCCTGATTATGTTTATCCGATAGTCTGGATGAACGAATATATTTGCGTTCCAAAGCCTTTGCCATCACCAGAGGATAGAAGAATAAAATTTGGAAAGACAAAAGAGTCGTCACAACTAGATATAGTTGGCTGGCAATATTATGAAAATCAAGTTTGGCTCCTGTTTTATAAGAAGTTTTAAAGGAACTGAATATGCTATTACGAAAGATAAATTCATCAATAATTTCGTACGAATGAGTTATGACGAATTTAATGTCTTTACTAAGATATACCCAAGGGTTTGTTTCTATCATCTTGATGAGAATATTTTAATTAGTTTTCTAAAAAAAAAGAAGAGTTTGATGACTACCATATTTATAGTCTGGCATTATCATTGATTGACCTATTCGGATCAATTATTTATTGGTTTTTTCAATAATATAATAATAATAATAAATTATATTATTGTCGGGAAAAATCATATTAATATTGATTGTGTAAATGATTGTAACATAAAAAAAAATGTTTAACGAAATTAAATTATAACCATCTTGTTTTTTTTATTTAGCGCAAACACGTTACATTTCCATAGAATGTTAAAGAATAATAGAGATTTTTGAACAGAATTATGCTGTGGCGATCTATTTATTTTATCAAACATTTCCGATAAGGAGATATCTTTATATGTTAACTTTATAGTTATTAACAATGATGACACCGTTAACTGACTAGGCATTTTTTATTAATTTAAAACAAAAAAAATTTTAATCACTTTTTTTTTTTGTTATTATTATTATTGAATTTTTCAAAAAAATAGTAAGCCATTCGTTAATACAAATAAAGAAAATAAAAGGAATATTTAACTAATACTAATAATAATAAAGTTCCCACTCGTGTAACAATAAATTTTAAACGAAAATTAATTTTCTTCCTTCAGCGAAAATGAAAAGACGGCTGATTTTTTGCTTTTTACCTTCAGAGAAATGAAAAAAATGTTTGATTTTTTGCAATCTGCATGCAATAATTAAAATTTTTCTCAAATAATAATGTATAGTATAGTTAAAAAATAGTGACAAGAAAATTTTTACAAAAAGCGAAAAAACATATTTGATCCACAAACACATTTTCTACGCCCAAATTTTACAAAAAATTCCTTCACAAAAAATATTTTAGTTATAATCATTGATCCTTGATCCTTGATCTTTAATCCATTAATTCATTTAAAATCGAGCCGCGTTTTTACCTGAAGATCTACTTTTTATTGAAAAATTCGATAAATATAAAAGGTTACATGCATCAAAACTATTAGCTAAAAATTTATTATACGTTAAATAAGTTGATTATTAATTACTTATGCTTCGCTCATAAGAGTGGAGGCAAATTCAATATTAATAATTAATATTAACTTAAAAATTCCATTCTGTAAAAACATTTTCACAATTTAATAATTCAATAAAACCTTTCCGCTTAATAAAACACTTTTGTGATCGGAAATTAAACAATTTAATTACTCATTTGTTATCAGAGTGGTATAGGACCCCGAGATTTTGGTTATTTGCTTTAGTAAGAAGAAAAAGGTTGAATTTTAATCCCCGATCACCGAAAAAATTATATGTTTTATTTGTATTATATCTAGTTTTCTTAGTTGGAAGAATCATTTTTCCTGGTTGTAAATCGTGACAACCACATTTTTGATTTTTAATAGGAAATAATATTTGAAGCAATAATTAAAGAAAAGGTATATGCGATTTGCTATTATATCCGGGAGTAATCGTCTTTCTTGGCTCTAAGACGTAGTAACCAACTACATTTTTGTTTTTTAACAGAATTCCAAAGATGAAATGGCACAAAAAATAATTGCATCAAAAACTGGTGAAAAGGTATGTGCAATTTGTTATTGTATTTAGAGGAATCGCTTTTCCTAGTTACAAGTCATCGTAATCGACTACATCTTTGGTTTTTAATAGACTCCCAAAGATAAGGAAATCAATATCTCTTCCTGGTACCAGTACGACACAATACAAAGGACTTCTGAAGTGAATGATGAAATTTGGGTATATATACATCCGAAAGGAATTGCTTTTCCGAGATTATAATAATGTTAACTAACGACATCTTTGATTTTTAATAGACTTTCAATGATATGAAAAATGCACTCCCTTCCACTTGCCAGTATAAAATAAAATCTGCAGCAAACGCAAACACTGGAGAAAAGGTATATGCAATTTGCTATTATATTTAAGAGGAATCACTTTTCGTGATCGTAAACCATGGTAACTGACTACATCATTGATATATTCTTGCCATCAGTTTATCATTCCACAACAAATATCTGCAGTAAACATTGGAGATTGGGTATATACAACTTGTTATTATATCTAAGAGGTATCATCTCTCCTGGGTAATAAGTCATGTTAACCGACTATACCTTTGATTTTCAATAGAATACTGAAGGTTGTGAAAGTACTGAAGATTGGGTAAGAACTGAGTATTGGGGAAATATTGAATCTTCGTTGATAACCATACAGTTCTAATCGTAATATTGAATTTTACCGTCTCCAGTCCAACACGGAACAAAAAAAAATACTTACAGCAAACATCAGAGATTGGGTATGTGTAATTTGTTATATCCGGTAGGAATAATCTTTCCTGGTTGTAAGTCATGATAACTGATGTTTTTGGTTGTTTAAAAGGCACCCCTTTGGATGAATGATTTTCGCCAGGTAGAAAGGGTGAAGAAATCAACTGAAAAAGTAGGTCAAATTCGTTATAAAGTATTTCAATGCAATAAAATTTCTTATTATTTATTATTCGCTCGCACAGATGATCCGTATTGTCAGATACTTGGTCAATAAAAAAGGATACATTATCATGGGAAATTGGGTATGTAAAGAAAAGTCGGAAGATGAAAGAATGTTGTCATATTGTGATAATAAATGGCAAGAATTATTGGGCCGGGAATCACTTATAAAGTATCTAGAAAGTGAAAAGGGTCTAGTAGAGCAGCGCGAATTTTTCAGAAAAAAATGCAATAAATGCCATAAAAGGAAGACAATCACGAGTTTCTGCCTGTACACATCAGTGATGGATGTGGAAGTAAGTCAAATTGATCACAAAATATGCAACGAAATTTGTTATTAGTTTATATTTTATACTAAACTTTGTCCTAACAGGAAAATCAGGAAAGTCCCACTGTCGAGATTATCTGCCATCTTGCATGGAACAAACATTACAGAGTGTTTGGCAATTGGAAATGTTTGAATTGTGAAAAGAAATGGGTAAGCGCCTACACATGGATGTCCCTTCAAAAGTTTATAGATAAAACACCAGCAAATCACTTGAAGCAGAACGATTTTTACATGCAGAAGTGCAAGCGATGCAAGGAAGATGATGAGAATAAAAGCACGATCTATAAATATGAACCACTGGTATTATCGGATGGAGATGGACCTCACAAGAGTCATTTATGTGCAAAGTGTCAAAACAAAGAATACTGTACTCGAACCGGCACTTATTTCGGTTCTCGCTGAACAAATATTTTATTAAAATAAATATTAGTATATTGTAATTTGCAATTATAGATCACTTTATTAGTTATCCTACTTCATTCATTTTCTAAATTCAACTGATATGATTATCAATTTGATATTTTATATTTATCATTATATTTTACTTATCTATTACCTATATGTACACAAATCTTTCCTAACTCTGTCTTAAAACTTGCCTTTTATATTTTAAATTCTCCATTTTATTATATATTAATATTATCAAGTACAAAACTTTTTATAATAAACAAACATCATTTTTATTTAACATAAAAAAAACTCTGAAATTTATGTGCTTGAAAAGTAATAGTTCCAATTAATAAGTAAATTAACCAATAGCGTGCGAAACTCATAATAAACCAGGACCTCGGATTATTATAATTGGGATAACATCAGATTTTGTAAAGTTTTTGTTTGAAGCTGCATGAAATTTTGGATAAAAACTTGTGTATATCCAAAATCAGGGTAAAGTAATTTTATGTCATATGAAATTATGGGTGAAGCAAAAAATTTTAAAATGGGAAAAATAGGCAAGGTTAAATTGTAATTGATATAGAAAGTTTTATGTCTTTTTTATACTTGCTGCCCTAACACAAAAAGTCACAAATCCGAACCCTTTGAACTTCATGAATTGGGTGGACACATTAGATACACCTCACCTATTCGGGATTGGGCTATACTTTAGACAACAAGTATAGTCCTTTTCCATTTAAGTAAATTTCCTAATGACTAATACTAAATTTTTGACAATATTATTTTTCACAATTACTTCCAAGGCTTCAAAAAATCAAATCAAATCATTCTGTACTTGATTCCTAAATATTTTTTTAATGTTGCATTAACTTTATATTTTTAATTTGGTAATTTACACAGTGAAACTCAATTTATCTTGATTTAATGGATACTAATCGATTTGATGAACTAAAACTACAATAATAATAAAATTCTTCTCAATATAACAGATTTCTTGATATTGATATATAATGAATTTTTGGAAAAAAATTTCTAATTGCCCAAACTATCTGCCAAACCAAGATTGTGTATATTTTCAAATTTAAAAATTTTTTAATTGATAAAAGGATATTACTTAGTGATGGTGGTTGAAACTATTTTTGAAAAAATGTAGTTTCGTCCAATACTATTATAGCCCTATTTTTTTATAAATACAAACATATAAATCAATCTACTTTATTTTAAAAACTTCCACCCAATTTCGGCTATTAAGTCTAGGCCAATCAATTTTGACAATTCCAGCCCACTAAGTAAGGTAGTTTTGGCCACCATCACTAATATATTATTATTAATTGATAACAATAATGAAAATGTGACAAATAAAAATAATACAGTTGCATCAATTCAAATCAAATTATATATTTGAATGAAACGTAACCAAAAGTTGGGTGATTTGATTCAATTTGAATCAGTTTGAATTTCGTTAATTCATTCGGAGCCTTGGTTGTAGAAGTTGCAGCATTAGATGCGAAAAATTTTTTAGGTTGCAGAGCCATTTTATTTTTAAAATCCAAAACATATAAAAATGGAATGTGAATATATTTATTTATTATAATTAAATTTATATAATAACTAATGGTTTATATTACTGCTATCAATATATTATACTATAACATTGCATTAATTGATTTTTTTCTTTTCCAAAAAAATAGCAATAAATCTATGATAAATAGTCTGATGGTGCACAATCAGAAAGAATGGTTATGTGACCATTATTATTATCATTATTATTATCATTATTAAATTTTTCCTTTGTATGATAATTATTATTTAAAGCTATCTATAATATAATCGAATTTTTTTCCAACCTAATTTTGAAATGGTTAATGCCGAGTAAGTTGCATTTTATCAACACCAATTTTCAATGAAAAGGTCATATATCTTTCTGAAAAAAACGTGCATAATTAACTTATTCGCGGGTCAGACTGAAGCCCTATAAAAAATTTAGTCAGAAAATGTATGGTTTTTCCGTACATTTTCCGCATATTCTGTATGGAATATGTACGAAATTATACATTAAAAGAGTGCTTTTCCGCACATTTTCTGTGCTTAGCATCCATACGAATTCACGGAAAATGTACTGAATGTATTTTCGGTCATTTTCAGGTCAAATATGTACGTAAAAGCGCTCTTTTCATGTATAATTCCGTACTAGTGCATATTCCATACAAAATGCACGGAAAATGTATGGAAAAACCATACATTTTCTGAAAAAATGTTTTATAGGGAAGCAAGCAAGATTAACATATATTAAGATACGCATATATAGGTATGGCTATCGTGCGAAAAAATAATAAGTTTATTACGAATAAAGTGTAATCTTAAAACTTTACTAGCGAATAAAGCTATCTGTAATACATATTTTTTATACACAAAAAATTAAAAAATAAGCAGATCGAGACTATCGTACTAAATAATTTATATTTTCTAAGGATTAATATCAATTATATTCCAATCCAATTGAAAGTTTTTGAACTCCTTGATAACGATTGGTGATTGTTGATAATGCCCAATTTCGGCGATAATATTTTGTCCAATGTCCAAACTAAACTTAATGGCTACAGGAAGCACATGACCTGGACTACAAAGATTATTATCTATAGTAAATCTTTGAGATTCGTCAGATCGATGAGTTGGATTATACTTTTCCAAGGAGTCCAAAATTACGTTTGTAATTAACGGCGTAAAAATCAAATCCACCTTTGTTTAAATTAACAATAGTAAAGTCACCATTATTATTCTCCTTTAATAAACAGGCTTGTTGAAGTTCATTTCCTCGTGGAAGAAGCAAAATTTTGTTTTAATTTCTATTTGCTTGAATGAGGACTGATTTATGCATTTTCCTAAAAAATTATAATGGAACCATAATAACAATTTATTTTTATTTTTGAGACATTAATGACTCTAATTTAGAGATGGGAAAATGGCGTATAGTACGTATAGTAGTGTTGAAATGCAAAACTGAATAATAATAATAATAAGAAAAAAAAAATAATTTGGCTATTACGATAAGTATAAATCTTTAATTTATTCAACCTACACTTTTTTAGGTTTTTATTTATGAATCATTAATTATATTGAATGAATTAAATATCATAAAAATCAAAACTTCTTTCATTTTTATTTGATTCTTCAATAAAAATTTTCATCAGCTTCTTTGATGTGAAATCTTCAATTATGTTGTAATTTACCTGTACACCATGTATTTGAAGTATTAAAATGTTCTCCAAAATAATTTCTTTTAATTTGAATTGTGGCATTTGGACAAAGACGTAAATGTTTTTCACATCTAGATATTGAACTAGAACGTTAATATTAAAATGTTGCCAAATTGCAGGCAAGTTTAAAATATATATTTATCGTGAGAAGAGTATTAATTAATTTTTATGTGTAACATCACATCTATTATTTGACAATAACCTAAACAGGAATTGATTTACATTTACTACTATTATATACTATATTTTTCTAGAACTATACGCACTATACGTATCACTATACGTATTAGTATAGTATTATACGTATAGTACTGATCTGCCCATCTCTACTCTAATTTGTTCACTTATTTTATTTGATATTTATTTTTTTTATTTTTTTTTCGTAAGAACGTAAGAAAGCATTTCCTTAAATAGTGACTCAGAATAAATGACAGAATATTGATTGGCTTGCGAGAAAAATGTTGATTTTAGATATTGTTGAAGAATACGTAATTCAAAAATTTATGACGCCTTACATTAAGCGATAATTCATTTGGTAGCAGGATCATTTGACCGGTTAAAATAGGTTAAAATCTAAATCACTATCAATTCCTTAATTCGCAATTTGTGATAAATGGAAAGAAACGACATGCATTTCAGCCAGAATTCTGAATCAGTTTTCGTTAAAACGTCCCATTTTATTAAATCAATCATTATATTGACATTATTGTAAAATATTAAAAACATAAATTACATACAATAGTTGTGCGATTTTTATTTTCCGCTTAATAAAAAAAATTTTTTTGTATACTTTTAACTGGTAATTAACCGGTAGGGGTTTTTTTGACCAGTTCTAACCTCTATATTGAAGAATATATAAATCCCCAAAACTTGATAACGCCTCGCATTAAACGATTGTTTCAATAATTTTCCTTTGTAACAAAATTCACACGAAGGCGCTTTTCTCATTTTATCTGTACATCAACAAAAACTTCAATGGAGGCAAACCGGTTTGTATGTAAGAAAACCGTATTTATTCTTTGAATTTGAAAGTGAACAAGGTTTTGAACCTTTCTCCGATGAGAGTTACTATGATAAAATATATACATGCATAAAAATATTGACACGTGCATTTTTTATTACTAAATATATAACTGTTACCAATGTTTATGAATTTAATATTTGGCAAATATATATGCATTATATGCACTTGCAAATCACGGAAACACGTCAACTGATCACTCCTTCTCATAAATTTAGACATCATAATGAAATTAATTCTTTATGAATAATCCCAAAGATTTTTTCAACGCCCAAACATATGAAAAAAAAATTTTGATTAGAACAAGTACATAAATCACATCCAGATGAATGTCATACGAATAGAAAAAAATAGCTAAATCTAAAGGTTGTACAATACCTATCACAAAGAAGCATAAGATCAAAAGAATGCTGTAAACACAATTAAATTAATAGGTTTCTTGAGAAATAAAATTCATTTGCATATAATAATAGTGTAAATAATGATATAAATGAAAACATTATTCGGATTTGTGAATACTATAATAATATTGATGAGAATGACAAAAGGAAATATGAAGAAGCTTTGTTAATTTGAATTCAATTGTTAATGAAATGAAAACGAGTTTCCGTTATTAATCAATACCATAACAGAAAAAAAACCAATGGAAGTCAGGTTTGCTGTTTTCCGTCTAATTCGTAATTGGTCAAAGCAATTTCTTAAATCTGGTTTAATAGCTAAATCATGTATTTTTCCGCAAAAACCATCCGCAATTTTGCGCAGCATCATGAAAATATCCAATTTTATTGGTGGTTTGGGTGCGTGTTATTCTTATTTAGAAATTGATTTGCCGATTTGCAGTTGATTTTTGCGGAAAAATACATGATTATTTAAAAGCTGAACGAACTAAGCCGAGCCAGGTTTATATTTAATAGTATAATCATCAATAATTTTATGACAGACAACACAATTCCAAAATTCCATGTTTTAACAATAATTGTACTTTTAATAAAAATTGTTTTTAGGTTCTGAAATATATGCATACGTTTAAATCTCGTTTCAACGAATCTATGTGAATATAATAATAATAAAATTGCATTTATACCAAAATTACTAATCATATATTTCAACGAATTTATATTTTTTTAAAAATTCGTTGTAATGCGAATTTTATTATAATTCGTTGAAACAAGAAAATTTATATTTATGAATAATTAAAACGATATGCAAAACCATTTTAAAACCTTATTATGTTGAGTTAAGTTAGAGTTTTATTCGAATTATTCGTTTATTCGCTTATTTGAATAGAAATCTTAAGTTAAGAAGGCTCGAGTGAACTGAGTTCAAGAAAAAATTGGTTTTTGGTAATGAATTGTATAAATAAAACAAGGGTAAACAACTGAAACAAATCGATCACAAGTGAATAAAATGAACTTTATAGCATTGCAAAAAGGGCCATATTTATTTATTTACAGTTATCAGGTACCATTAACATATTCGTATGGGTGCAAGAAAAAAGGAATCAAAGTAAATTCGTAAACTAACTAATTGACAAGCGCCGAATTATTTGCAAAGGATTTTTTTTTAATTATATAAGAGAAAAAACTTAGTTGATTTTTTTAACAAACGAAGTTTGTAAATAGCAATAAACTTGGAATAAAAAAAAATTCCAAGTGACACATTGACCTTTAATCTGGGATAAATAAATAAACACGAGGGAAAGATCAGGACGAAAAGATTTTTTTTTTTTAATTAAGAAAAAATAGCTTAGTAGGTTTTTTTAACAATCTTTGATTCATATGGGGCACTTCTTTGAAAAGGATCTTGGACAACTCCTTTTGTATATAAATAAATAAAAAACAAACAAACAAATTTTTTAACGAATAAAATAAAAATATTGATTATATGACTGGCTAAAATTGATGCTCCGAAAAAATATATACATTTGAATGTAACGTGTAAAGCCAAACCATATACAGTGTGTAACGAAAAAAATTGCCTTCACGAAAAACTGCGTAACTCAACAATCACATGAAACAATTAAATGATACTATATTTATTAGAAAGTTTATCATGTACTTTATTACATATAA